GCCCTCGCACACACACACACACACACACACACACACACACACACACACACACACACACAGACACACACACACACATACATACATACACACATACATACACACACCGGCAAGCGCAGCCAGCACCAAATCAAATGCCCCATAAACGCATTCACACTTATCTGAAGGCTCATTCGCTCTTGCGTTGGTTGATTGTCACCATAACTTCGATTGCTGTTGTTGTTGTTGCTGCTGCTGCTGCTGTTTGTTGATTGATTGATTGATTGACTTGCATGCAGAATGTTGTTGTTGTATGGATTGAACACCAAAGCAAAACATAACGTGGTGCAGTGGCAGGAAAATGAAATGAATTGGACGACACAAAGCCACACACATCCACAGTAGAGGCACATGCAACGAATGCCAAACATAACAGCAAGGAACAAAGGGCACATGGGGGACGAAAGAAAGGACGGTGGTTATCGCGCTTGCTTGTTTGTGTGAAGCAGCCATATGGGGGGAGAGAGAGAGAGAGAGAGAGAGAGAGAGAGAGAGAGAGAGAGGGAGAGAGAGAGAGAGAGAGAGAGAGGGAGAGAGAGAGAGAGAGAGAGAGAGAGAGAGAGAGAGAGAGAGTGTGTGTGTGTGTGTGTGTGTGTGTGTGTGTGTGTGCGTGCGCGCGTGTGTATGTGAGCACGAGTAGCACGGGGCATTGCGGACGTTGGACGGGTTTAGCCGGCAATGTCTGTTGCCTCTGTGGCGAGGGAGCCGTTGACAACCTTCGTCTTGTACTGCTCGGGCACAGGCATCTCTTTCTGTTGGCATGCAAAGCCACAAGCATGTACAGTGGTGGGCGTGAGGTGTGTGAAACCAGGCATGCGGGGCCAGCAAGAAAACGCACACCAACACACAATTGAGCCACCAACACCAACACGCACACACGCGCGCGCGCTTGTCCTCATTCTCCACCCTGCAACAACAGCAGCTCCTGTCCCATTTCCCCCCGCTCTCCTCCGCGCAAAATTGCATGACTGACGTAGTCGCCGTTGTCGCCCTCTGGGATGAGAACGTTCATCTCGGACGACTTGGCAGACACAATCTCCGTGTCCAGGCTCGTGGCGCTCAGGTACACCTGGCACCCGTCCGTCTTGTCAATCGACACCGTCGGCACCTGGCAGGGCAGAGAGAAGAGGTGGTGGAGTGTGAGGAGAGGTGATACGATGGGCAAGTGAGAACATTTCAGGGACGGGCATCAGACATGCGTGCACACACACACACACACATACAGAAAGTACCTATTTCACCCACCACATAGACGCACACGCAACGCATGGTACATGCTGCCACTGCATATTTTCGTACCTTCTCGACAACTTGGACCTGCACGCTCTTGCAGTTGACGACATCAAAGACGCCAACAGCGCTGTCAAAGACAACGCCGACCTTCTTGCAGTTGTCCAGCGTGATGCTGTTCACCTTGCCGCTGATCTTGATCGTCGTCTTCTCGCACCTGCAGTGAACACGCAGACATGGGGTTTGGATGGTGGCGTTGATTGGACACAGAAGCATGGGGGTGGGAGGAGGTGTGGAGTGTGTGAGGTGTGCGACGCAAGATGCCACAGCACGCACATGCACTAGACAGACAGACAGACAGACAGACAGACACACACACACACACATACACAGACACACACACACACACGCACGACACAGGACACAGCTGGTGCGTACTTGTAGATGTAGACGGACTGCTTGATGTTGCCCTCGATGACAATGTCGTGGTTGTCCACCTGATACTCGACAGTCCACTTCTTGCCCACGAGCTCAAAGACGGGGTCCTTCTTCTGCTTGCGACAGAAGCGGTGGATGGGAGGGAGTCGAGAGAAGGGTGGAAGTCATGGATGGATGGATGGATGGATGGATGGATGGATGGATGGATGGATGTGTGGAAGTGAGGGGGGGGGATGCACACTTGCATGGCTGAACGTGATATGGCCCACAATCAAAGAAACAGCGCAGCGAGCAAGCAAAGCAGCGTTTGCGTGTGCGCACAAGGTTTTGCACAAGGTTTTGCTTGGCGCGTGCACTGACCACGGCTGCGGCGGGCTTGGCAGCAGGCTTGGCAGCGGTAGGCTTGGCGGCAGATGCAGACACCACCTGTGGTGGGATGTGGTGAGGTGGAGTGTTGGTCGATCGTGGGTACGATGCAACATGAGGAGAGTGGTGAACAAGGAGCAGCAACGGGTTGATGAAGCGGGTGAACTACACAGTAAAGCGCAAAACACACAGCAAGCAGTCACGCACAGCACCAACAACGCCATCGCTGCAATCACTGCCGCGTTGGTGCTGACGTACAGAGGTTGCGCGGAGGGCTGGGTTCTTGTGGGTCATCTGGCTCTTCTCAACCTTCTTCAGGCCAGCAGTCACACCGCCGCCCTGACCATGCACAGACACAGACACACACACAGACACAGACACACACCACGGCATTAACAGTCAAGGGTGTAGGGGGATGAAAGTCGTGAGTGTACAACAGTGTGCTGTGATTGGAGGAGGGGTGGCGGAATGAATGCAACACAGAAAGGCAGACACACAGGCAGGAAAAAAAAAACAACAACAACAACAACAACAGAAAGGAGAAGGCGAACAGCCAGAGACGGGGACAGAGACAGAGGCAACAGTCGAGAAGACCGCCCAAACAGATACACATGCCATCATGGCGCTGATGTGTACAGCCACGCCCCATCCATCCCCTTTGCGACTGCCACACCTTGTTCAGCGCGGCGAAGAGGCTGGCGCGGGTATCACTGCCCTCAGACTTGGACGGCACGGCGGCCGGCTTCGGGGCAGCGGGCTTGGGAGCCGCAGCTGATGATGGTGGCAGTGTGGTTGGGGGGGGGATAGTTGTGTGAGATTGTGGTGGTGGTAACAATGAAAGGTGTACATGGTGGTTGGTGGTTGGTGGAGGGGGAGGTTGTGGATGAGATGGGTGATGGGGGTGCGAGAATTATTGTCGGTGTGTAAGAGCGGCAATTGTGTTGGGGATCATGAACGATAACTCACGAGCAGCGGTGCCAACGAAAGTGCTGGCATCAACGCCATCGCGGTTGTTCCACACGAGGCCTGGCAGCACGAGCAAACAATTGAGAGCACGTGGTGGTGGTGGTTGAGGTGGATGGGTGAGGGACGAGTGGACGGAGAAGCATGGGGTGGTGCATTGGGAACCAGACGTGCATGCATGTACACCGAGCAGAACGAAGACACAAACAGACAAACAGGCAAGCCATCCACCCACACCCACCCACACCCACCCACACCCACCCACACCCACCCGCAAACAACACAACACAACACAACACAACACAACACAACACAACACAACACAACACAACACAACACAACAACCATGACCAGCAGCACGATCACGGCAACTGTACCGGTGGTGTGGATGTCCTTGATGTAGTCGTAAAGGCCATCGAGGACGGCGACCCAGGACTTGGCCCAGTCCACTTGGCTGTCGGCACCATAGCGGTGGTGGTAATGCGCGGGGGGGGGTGGATGCAGTGATTGGAGAACCGGTGAGAGGAGCAGCACAGGAGATGGGTGCACAGGCGCACGCGCGCGCGCGTGTGTGTGTGTGTGATGAAAGCTCAGGAGCACACGCATTCACACAAGAGAGCGCGCGCATATTCCACCACGCAATGTGCACACCTTTGGTCCTTGTCCTTGAACTCCATGAGGACCCGCTATCAGTGGAACGAGGGAGGGGAGAACAAGTGCCGTGGGGTAAGGTGAGTGTGGTCGTTGCGCACTGCACACTGACGGGCAAATCCCCTTGGTTCACACAGACACATACACACGAACAGGCACACAAACGAGCGCACGTTGGTGTAGAACTGGGCGGCGTCCTTCATCTCGCGGACGTATGGGGCGGGCTTGGGGGCAATGGTGACCCAGCCAAGGCATGGGATGCCCTCGCTCACAGCGCTCAGGTGGTTGAACTGCCATCAAACACCAAAGACAGCGGCGTAAGTGCTGTAAAGCACAAGGTGCGATTGCCGCGCAGCGAAAGTACGCGCAATCAGCTGCAAAGAGCGTGCGACAGCGCAGAGGAGTCAAGGTAGACACAGACACACACCTGGTTGCTGCGGCGGTTGCTCTCACGGAAAGACTGGACCTCGGCGAGGGCAGAGGAGGTGTTGTGGAGCAGCTTCATGAGCACATCCTGGGATGGCTGCTTGGCCTTGCTGGCGACGACGATGAACTCGCGCTGAGCGTGGAAGGCACGCTCGACAATATCGAGCTGCGTGGCAAGGTCGCCGCCGAGAGCACGGCCCTTGGCCAGGAAGTCGGCAAAGGGGCCGCTGAGGAGCTGCACACGCACACGTTGTAACGATTGCACACGGGGTGAGTTGTAGTTGTTCGCATCCAAAAAAAAAAAAAGTTTAGCAGGAGTTGAAAGGGGGACGCCGAATGCAGAGAGGAAGAGCATAACCCACAAGCATTCACAAAAAGAACACACAGCCGAGCAAAAAGGGCAACGCAGCCAAGCACGCAAAGCGTGCGCAGTCATCCCACACCCACACCCATACCCACACACCTCGTCGTAGCCGCTGACGCTGGCAGAGTCGTCTGCGGCGCCACCAGCGGGGGCGGCCTGGGCAGGGGCGGGCGCAGAGCCACCGCGGGAGGCAGCGCCCTCAAGGCGCACAGCAACCTGTTTCAAACAAACCCAAACAAGAGGCCAAGCAGCGAATGAGCGAGTGTGAGATAGTGTTGTTGTTGATGCTGCCATCAGTTGTTCAGTTGCTTGTCATCGCATTGAAGCAGAAAGAGTGTGTGCGTGTGTGTGTGCGCGCATGCATGTACCACAACCCGCCCACACAGGCACAGACACAGACACAGACACAGACAGACACACTCACACACACAGACACACACACAGACACACACACACAGACAGACACACTCACACACACAGACACACACACACACAGACACAGAAACACAGATACACAGACACACACAGACACGCACACACAGACACACGGCCTCACCTTCTCCAGGCGCTGAACGAGGGACTCGAGGTTGGACATGGTTCTGGATTGGTTGGTAGTCGGTCAAGTCAGTGGTGCTGGGTTGTATCGATCGTCGTTTGTGGCTGGCGTCAGCGGTTGGTGTGTGTTTGGATTCTTGTCTGTCTGTTTCTGGATGAAATGGATTCCTATCCACCATAAGAGTAAAATGTGCGCATAGTGCGCATTCAACCAATGCATGTTTCGTGTAAACACAGTTTTATGGTGTCGGGAAAGAAGGACTGCAGTGCAAGAGCCGCCAAGAATTTGAACCGGAGGCAAGCTGTGTGTGAAGGCGAGCGACTTCTTCACAGACAGACACACACAGGCACACACACACACACACATACACACACACACACGTGTCAATCAACATTAGGGAGGGGAGGACCGTGAACGGTAACGGTAACAAAGAGCGAGGAGCAGGCAGGCAAACAGGCAGGTGATCTCTTCTGCAATGTGCTGGCTCCATCGTGTGTTCTTGTTGTTAAGTTGTTGTTGCTTCGGTTCTTCGGTTGGGTTTCCTTTTCAATGCTCAGATTTGCTCGTCAAACTCGAGGCTGGATGCCTCGACGCTGGTCGCGCGCTGTTGCTCCTGCCGCTTGCGGGAGCGGACACTGCAAAAACATGACATGCAACATGCAACATGTGAGCGTATGTGCGTGAGATGGCCGGTGTGCGCGTGAGTGTGGAGGGGAAGGGCGCGGCGATGCGGCGTGAGTGTGAGACAACTGGTAGAGAGGCTGCGCGCAACACACAGCGTGCAGCTCAAACGAGCGTTGCATGCTGCGACAACACCACTCGAGCCAAAGCCGCGACGCATCAGGAACCAGGGAAAAAAAAAAAAGGCTGAACGCACAATGCAAAGGCTGCGATGACGACGATGATGGCAAAGACGCTGAGGGCCACGGCAGCAATCACCGCAGGGCCGGCAGCAGAGGAAGAGGACGAAGAGGAGGAAGACGAGCCGCCGGAGCCTGTCAGAGGTGGAGGAAGGCATCGGATAACGAGGCAGGACAGTGGGTTGTGAATAGGAAGAGGGAGCTACAAGTGACATTGTGTGCACACGCACCGCGTGCATGCGCACACCTACACAATAATCATCCCCAGCACACACACACACACACACGCACACACACACACATGCACACACACATACACACATACGCACATGCACACACATACACACGGTACCTTCGTTGCCGACGACGAAAGCGGCAAGGGTGGAGAGGTTCTCGGGAACGCAGTGGCCGTAGTTGGTGCCTTGGTTAACAGGCATGTAGCCATCGGGGCACGAGTCAAAGCAACCGCCATCAAAGTTGACAAGGCCAGCCTGCAAAGCAAGTCAGAGAGGCAGCAATTTTGAGCATGGTCAGATGGTGGGACGAGGAAGACGAAGACGAAGAGGAAGAGGAAGAAGAAGAGGTGCTGGTACGCCCTGTTCCCCGACCACACACACACGCACACACACCTGGCAGAGGTGGCAGGTGCCTGGGACGTTGTCGGTGTAGTCGCACTCCGTGCAGCCCGAGGGGCACGCGCAGGCGTAATAGTTACCGAGGACTTGCAGAATATTGTTAGTGCACACGCGGGGTACCTGTGTTTGGCAAGGAAATACGAAACGCAAGATAAAAACACAACGTGAGCAGAGCTTGAACTTGCAACCAGTCAGTCAGCCAGTCAGCCAGTCAGTCAGTCACAAACAAACAAACAAACACAAACACACACACACATACACACATATGAAACATACGTTCACCTCCGCCCCTCCCCCGCCCCTCACGCACATACAAGAACACATCATGTCACGGCACGGACCTGGCAGGTGCAGGTGGCGCAGCCGATGGCGTCGAATGTGTATGTGGCAATCTCGCCGTCACTGCAGTTACAATTGCCACCAGTGCCAGTGCCAGTGCCACCATCACGGCGCTTTCGCGGGTTGCGTGGGGGATCGGTTGGCGTGGTGGTGTGCGTCGTGCTGTCACGTGCCCAGCTGGTGCTGGTTGTGCTCACCGTCGTCTCCGGGCGCAGGAGCACCTCGCGCACAACGTGTGCAACGCCGTTGGCACCCTCAATGTCAAAGTTTGCAACCTGCACGTTGTTGACGTACACTTGGGTGCCGTCGCTCTGGATGTGCCAGGGCCGGCCATTGGCAGCGGTGAGCGTCTCGCCATCCATGCCACGGAGGTCATCTCCAGTGAAGACGCCAAAGGAGAAGTGGCTGAAGAGGGTGCGCACGTGCAGGGCAAAAGCCTCTTCGGAGGGGAAACGACGATCAACAACGTCGTTGGTGGGCACGAACACGGTGACGCGACGAACGGATGTGAGGAAGGGGGCGAGGCCGGCACTGCGGATTGCACCCACGAAGCGGGAAAAGTCGGCATATTGCTCAAGCACCTGTGGTCATCGGTGGTGTGGTGGGAATGGAGTGTGAGGAAAAGGGCATCGCGCGGAGGGCATTGCATGTACAAACACAAGCTAGCAAGCACACACACACACACACACACACACACACACACACACACACACACACACACACACACACACACACACACACACACCCACACAAAAGCAAACAAACAGCAACGCCCCCCCCCCCCCCCCACACACACATGCCTGGAACTGACCTCGAGGATGTTGCCCTCAATGTAGAAGAACGGCGTTGGGTGCAACACGCCACCAAGGGTGTGGATGAGGCCGTTGCTTGCAGGCAAATCAAAGTTGGTGACAAGGACATTGTCGACGGTGACTATGTTGCCAGACACGCCCACGGTGAGCGGGTTATGGAAAAGGAAGGTGCGGATGTCATCACCGTCACGCGTGAGCAGCTCCTGGTAGTCGATGATGTCGCCAACAATGTAGCTAAGGAGGATGCCACGAAGCAGCAACGGCCGCTCAAGCAAGCGCTCCAGCTGTTCCTGCCCAACGTCCCGCAGAAGGGCAGCGTTGGTGGGCACAAACACGGTGATGGTGTGGGCGGTGCTGAGGAGGTGCGCCAGCCCCGTGTGCTCAAGCGCTTGCACGAACAGACTGTAGTCTGCGTGTGCGCGCAGTACGTCAATGACGGTGGGCCCAGCGGGGGCTGTGCTGGTGCTCTCGTACTCTGTGGACGAGCTCATCTCCGTGCTGGGCAAGGGGCTGGTGGCAGTGGTTTCACCAGAGGTTGTCTCCGTGGATGTCGACGACGATGTGGAGCATTCGAAACACGTGGTCACTGTCCTCGTCTCGGTTGAGCTGCTACTGGACGTGGATGTCTCGGTGGTGGTGTCGGTCGAGCTGCTGCTGGACGTGGATGTGGAGGAACTGCTTGTGGTTGGGTAAGACATGTCGGGCACCAGCACGCCGTCCAGCGTGTGCAGGAAGCCGTTGGAGCCCTGCAGGTCGAAGTTGGTGATGCGAATGCCATTGGCAGAGATGAGGTTGCCGTACGTGTCAATAAACACGGGGTCCGAGGGAGAGAACGTGTCGACGAGCTGGCCCGAGAGATCCACAAGGCCCGCCCGGTCAAGCGACATGGTGAGGATGTGGCGGTACACGCCCATGCGCAGGTGCTCCGGGTGGGCGAAGAGGCTGTTGAGGTCGTCCGTGTCAAACTCGCGGTGGATGGCGGCGTTGGTGGGCGCGAGGAGGGTGATCCCTGGGGTGCTGGCAACAAAGTCACGCAGGCCCGCAGCGCGCACGGCCTGCGCAAACAGGGCAAAGTCTGCGTAGCTCTCCAACACGTCCATGAGGTTTGGCCCCGTGGTGGTGGTGGTCGTTGTTGTTGTTGTGGTGGTAGTTGTTGTTGTTGTGGTAGTGGTTGTGGTGGAGGTGGTGAACACGGCGGAGAAGATGTGCGCGATGCCGTTGACTGCGTCGAGCTGGCTGTTCGTCACAAGGTAGCCGTCCGCAAACACCTGGTTGCCAACGACGTTGATGCGGATGGTGGTGCCAGCCAGCGTCGCCAGGGACTGCCCGTCGGCGGCGACGAGGTCTGCGTACGTATACCTGCCGATGATGGTGTGGCGCTGCATGAGGCGTGCAACGCGCTCGGGCTGGCCGTAGAAGCGGAGCACGGCCTCCCAGGTGAGCACGCGGGCGAGGACGCTGTTGCTTGGCAGGAGCACGGTGACGTCGGACAACGCAGCAAGGTCGCCCAGGAGGTTGTCGCGTTGCAGGATCATGAAGATTTGGCTCAGGTCCGCGTACGACCCAATCACATCGGCAAGGTTGCTGCAGTTAGGGCGGGAGGATTTGGATTGGGGGGGGGGGGGGTTGAATGAGGTTGAGGAGGTGAGGAGAGGTGGGGTGAGGAAGGGGGCTGAGAGGGGAACATGGTGCATGCAAGCACAACAGTACGAACACTGGTCGCTAAAACACGCATGGAGAAACACCCCAACAAAACTAACAAACACAAGCTTGTTCGCACGCACACACCCAGACACACACACCCACACACCCAGACACACAAAACAATCACGCACATACACACATACACGCACAATCACACACGCACGCACACCCACACACCCACACGCACACGCACACACGCACACGCACACACACACACACACACACAAAATCAAACACCAAATCACAGACACATACACCCTCTCCCTTTCCGTGACTCACGGTCTGCCGGCGAGACAGTAGTCGTGTTGGATGGGGGTGCAGACGGAGCCGAGGGCCGAGTCCGTGCATTCAAAACCAGGCTCAATGGTGCAGATGCCAGAGCAGCCGTCGTGGTCGAAGCGGTTTCCGTCGTCGCACTCCTCGCCGGGGTCGACGCGCCCGTTGCCGCAGTACTCCGTGACGTCGCCATTTGCGGTTGCCGTGGCCGGAAGCATGGTGACTGCCGCCAGGGCGCACAGCAGCGCTGCTGCCAGCATGGCTTGTGTGGATTGCCGTGCCATCTTTTCACAAAAAACGCGGTGAGCTTGCGTGTGCGTAGATGTGAGGACCAAGTTGTGCCTTCTTGATCGATGAGATGTGTGTGCGTGTGTGTGTGTGTGTAACCGCGGCCTGCCTGAAAAGATGTATCTTCCTTTTGCCTGTGTGTCAGTCTTGTCTGTCAGCTGCGGAGAAAGGGAGGGTGTGAAAATGAACATGGCGATGAGAAAGACAAGGAGAAGACGGTGTGCGTGTGCGTATGTGCGTGCGTGTGTGTGTGTGTGTCTGTGTGTGCTTGCGTGAGATGTGTGATGATGGGCACTGCGCTTGCTCTTGCAGTGGTGGCGGAGAAGTAAGTTTTTCTGTGCAGTGAGTTTTTTTTCCCCTTGTTCGTGTGTGTGAGCTGTGCTTTGTGCTTGCTTCACCACCCAGCCAGCATCGTCATCATCAGCATCAGTGAACCAATCACGATAGGCGCATAATGTGTTCTGCTATCGTGGCGAAGCAAGAGCGCATCAGGCACACACACACACACACAAGAAGGCAAAGGTTGCTTGCTTGCTTGCTGGCTGGGTGGCTAGAGTGGTTGGTGACGACAGGCGACGAACGCACACGCAACACAAGCTCACCTCGGTGCTGGACAGCTAGCTGCTGCTCACGTTACGATGTGACGGCAAAGAAGCAAGGCCTTGGTGAAGCAAGGCAAAATGAGGGAGCGCAACTGATAGGGTGGTGAATGATGACATGATGACATGGTGACAGCCTCTCTCTCCACTGCTGCACACCTGCTTGCTTGCCGTGCCTGCTTACTGTGACGCAGTGACATGTGAGTGCGTGTGACAGCGTTCCCGCCATCATCGCGTTGTGTTTTGCAGCAGTGGCCAGCCCAGTTTTTTTGTGCTTGTGCGTTGCGTCGTCGCTTGCCGAAGCAAGATGAAGCGGGCACGAAGTCGTGCGCGTTGCTGTGCCGTGGGACACGGAGGTGGCGAATCACCGTGCACCGTGCACAAAACGGTGGCTGCATCGGACTTTGCATCCATTCGCAACGATGCGGTTGCATCGAATAGTAGCATAGTCGAAAAATAGCTGAAAACATCACAAAAACTACTGTACACGCTTTATGATGTCGTTTGTACTCAACAGCGAACTTTCGTTCGCACCAAAACGGGATAGCGAATAGTAGCGTTCGATGCGAACGTGGCGAAGGGTAAGCGAACGTGGCGAATGGTTAGCGAACGTGGCGAAGGCAGGCATCTGTGACACGCACCACACAACACACGACACCACCAACCACAATCCACAACAACAACAACAACGCACGGTATCTGCGCGATGCGGGTGGTTGACTGGCAGCGATGCGGCCGCAGCACGGCGACGAGCACGGTCGGCTGGGGAGCTCAATGGAATGGTGGGAGCCGGAGCGGCGTTGTCGTGGTGGTGGTGCGTTTCGGCTCTCTTCGCGAGCGCGAAGTAACATAACTCGCGTGTCAAGCGAGACGACCACGCTACTGAACAGCGACAGCAGTAAGTTGCGAACATGGCAAGCCCAGCCCAGTTTGCTTGGAGGCGCTTGCGTGTGTGGGCATGAGTGTGCTTGCGTGTGTGTGTGTGTATGTGTGCTCTCGCGCGTCCTGTCATGTCCTTGTTGCTTTCTTTCTTTTTTGTTCATCTTTCGTCGTTGGGCGTCATTCCATTTGTCGAGCTAACCTTTTCTTCGCACCGCCAACTACTGGTTGCCCCTGACAACTTCACTGGCAAAGGGACACGCACGCTGAGCCGTCTCCAGGCATTCACCGCCATCACCCTGCCAAGGTACCGAGCCCGGTCAACCACGCTCCCTTTGCCGCGCTTGCTGCAGTGTGTTTTGGCCTCCCTCCCTGCATTGCTTGAGTCTCCTCTTTTCGTGCCAAGCTCGGCCAAAGCAAGCCACTCAACCACACACACACACACGGCCACTGCCACATAATCAATCGCTCGCGTGCTTTTCCCGACGCAACCCTTTCATGGCCATTTTCCATCCACCCCCGCGCCAATCAGGTTTGTCGTGTGCGTGTATGTAGTCGCTGTGGGCGATGATCGTGAGAGGCGGTGATGATGGTGATGATGATGCCTTATGGAGCAGACGTTGGGGGGGGGGGGGAGTCAAAGCAACATTGCTTCATCTTTCGTTGTGCACTGCACCTGGTGTTCTGTGTACGATGGTTTATTCGTGGTGGTGTGTGTTTGGTTTGGAGTGGTTCATTTATTTCGCCATCCTCCACTATCCAAGAACAGCAGCACCAGAGAGACTCGACAAAGCACAAGACCACACAGGCACAATACACGTACACAAGACCACACAGACACCACACGCAGTTTGCATTGACTGACGCACAAACCAAACTCCCGTCCTCTCAACGCAGGTTCTCTCTACTGCCCGAGCAAGTAGTCTCAAGCACCTGATACCAAGCCCTTTTGCTGTGACACCCGGCTCAAGTTCCAATAACCCACCTTTCCTTCCATACCAAGCAAGCCACCTTTTCGGCTCTTTCGTCACTCAAATTCAAGGCCATGAGGACTTGGATTGTTCCCGTGGCAGCCCTTGCGCTGCTCCTTGGCACCGCCACCACGGCCTTTGCTGAGCGCTGCGGTGATGGCATCCTGGACGCCGGCGAGTACTGCGATGATGGAAACCGATTCAACCGCGATGGGTGAGCAACGAGTGCCATGCGTGTGTGTGTGCGTGCGTGGCGTGCGTGTGCTTGTGTGCTTGTTTGTGTGCTCTTGTGTGTGTGTGTCCTTGTGTGTTTGTGCTTGTGTGGGTTAACTGTGCTGTGCGTTGACGTGAATGAGCGCCTTGCTGGCTCCTGCACCGTTTATCTCACGCCGTGCCCCCACATTCTCTTCTTTCCTACCTTATAGTTGCTCCGGTCTTTGCACCGTTGAGCCTGGCTTCCGCTGCGTCCAGCCTGACTCTGGCCCATCTGACTGCAACCCAGACATGCCCAACACCTGCCCCAACGTTGGCCCGTGAGTTTTTATGTGTGCATGTGTGTGTGTGTGTATTTTGTGCGTCTACGTGTGTACTTGGTAGTGCGCGTGTGTGCTCGGCCGTGTGCGTGTATTGTACCTGATGTTTGTCGCTGGTGTTTGTTTCGAAGCCTCACCCCATTCATTCCATACCACCCCGCTTCCGTCTCTCTGTCCTTCTCTCCGTGTTCGCCAGATACTCCACGGTGAGCCCGCGCACGGCGTGCGACGGCTACGAGCCCGAGCTCGACCAGTTTGGCGACCTCATCTTCTGCGGCCAGAGCGGCCACGCGTGCCCCACCAACTCCTTCTGCGGCGGCCGCGACTACTGCTGCAGCTACAACGTTGCCAGCACCACCACCGCACGCACCACAACGCGCGCTACCACCACCACGCGCGCTACCACCACGACCACCACCCGTCGTCCCACCACCACGACCACGCGTACCACGACCACGCGCACGACGACTCGTCCTCCCACGACCACCACGACCCGCACCACCACGCGCCCTCCGACAACCACCACGACCACCACGCGCCGTACCACAACCCGCGCCCCCACCACGACCACTGCTCGCCGCACCACAACCGAGTGCGTGACTCGCACGTGCCGCTGCAAGCCTGGCTCTGTTGAGCAGCGCTGGATCGAGGATGGCTGCTGGACTTGCGCCTGTGTGCCCGAGGGCTACACCACCACCACGGCACGCACCACCACCCGCAGGACCACCACCCGCACTACCACCCGTGCTCCAACGACCACCCGTGCCCCCACCACTACGACTCGTGCCCCAACCACGACTACTCGCGCCCCAACAACTACTCGTGCCCCCACGACCACTGACCGCCGCACCACGACCGAGTGCGTCACGCGCACGTGCCGCTGCAAGCCTGGCTCTGTTGAGCAGCGCTGGATCGAGGATGGCTGCTGGACTTGCGCCTGTGTGCCCGAGGGCTACACCACCACCACGGCGCGCACCACCACCCGCAGGACCACCACCCGCACTACCACCCGTGCCCCCACCACGACCACCACGCGTGCCCCCACCACGACCACTCGTGATACGCGCACCACCACCCGCGATATGCGCACCACCACGACAGACAGCGGCCTTTGCGGCGGCTGGGCGCCCACTCGCGACCACACCGGTAAGCATGCAGGGCTGAGAGATGGCCAAGTTGTGAAATTGTTGTCGTGGTTCTGTCATCACGCGTCATGTGTTAGCTCGTGACATTATACACACCACTACACTTGTTCCCAACTCATGAAATGCTCCCCTCTTCATCCTCCTCATTCTCACCAAATGCACACATACATACACACATACACACACACACACACACACACACACACACACACACACACACACACACACACACACACACACACACACACACACACACACACACACACACAGGTTCCCTCATCTACTGCGCCCGCGATGGCCACGCCTGCCCCGATGACTCGTTCTGCGGCGCCCGCGACTACTGCTGCCCTGAGGGCTCCCCAACCACCACCACACGCCGTACCACAACACGCGATACGCGCACCACCACCACGCGTGCCTCAACCACCACTGTGACGCGCCCGCCAACGACGACTGGCCGCACCACCACGCGCGCGCCAACCTCCACCCCGCGCTGCCGCCTTCGCGAGTGCCGCTGCAAGCCCGGCTCGTACGAGCTGACGTGGATTGAGGACGGCTGCATCAACTGCGCCTGCGTCCCGGACGGCTACACGACAACTACCTCTCGCCCCACCACCACCCGCACCAGCCGCACCACCACCGTCACTCGCCCGCCAAGGACCACCACCACGCAGAGGCGAACCACGACACGCCCCCCGGCCACCACCACCACCCGCCGGACCACCACCCCATACACGACCACCCCCAGCATCTGCAACACGCACCGCATCAGCAGCGAGTCTGCATGCGACTCTCTCTGCGGCGGTCTGTACGAGTTCTACGGCCCCGCCGAGTACCTGCCTCTCTGCCTGAACAACGTAAGCGAAAAGCACACGCAAGGAGGGGAGAGAGGGGCGAAGTTGGGCGTGCTGTGTTTGTTGTCTGATGCTTGCATGCAACAGTAATTGCTGTGTGGTTGCTGTGCGGTTGCCGCGTGGTTGCGGCCCTCTTCTCTCTCACTCTCTCACTCTCACTCACACACACTCTCTCTTTGTGCGTGCTCTCATTGTTGCTTTGATTTGTCTCCAACTACCTATGGCATTCACTCACCCAATTTGGGGGTTTGATTTGTACCATCAACACAGCTCTGCTTCTGCTACACCACCACCACGACGACGACGACGACAACCACGACAACTACGACTACCACGACCACGACTACCACGACCACGACCACGACCCTTCCCGTCTGCTACACCAACCGTGTGCGCAGCCGCCAGCAATGCGACCGTCGCTGCGGTGGCTCCTACACCTTCTACCCGAAGCGCGCCTACGACCCCGACTGCAACCACCGCGTAAGTGCACAACGTTGGGTGCATGTGTGTGCGTGTGCATGTGTGCGTGTGTGTGTGTGCGTGCATGTGTGTACTTTGCGGAGCAGCAACTGAAAGCGCTTCATTGTGTGAATGAGGCTGCCATCTGACCTCCTGCCATCGTATCTGCTCCCCCCACTCGCTACAACCCCCCTCTCTCACGCGTACGACCTTCTCATGCTTCTGTCCTCCTTTGTCACTCACTTGCCCATCTTGTGTTGGGTTGTCTTGTCTTGTGCCCCACAGCTGTGCTTCTGCATCAACCGCCGCCGTTCTGTTGAGGACGAGGCTGTCGTTGCTGCTGTTGAGCCCCACGCTGTTGCCCGCCGCTCCACAGACATCTGCAACTGCCGTTCCGACGAGGCCACCACATACATCTTCGATTCCAACGGCTGCGCCTCCTGCCTCTGCCAGGTACATGCCGTGATGTGTGATCCGCGTGCGTGTTTGGGTGTCTTTCGTGTGCACATGAGTTATGTATGTGTGTGAGTGTGTGAGAGAGAGAGTGTGTGTGTGTGTTATGTGTGTGTGTGTGAGCGAGTGTGTGTGTGCGTGTGTGTGTATGTGTGTGTGTGTGTTTCCCCCAAACGTTGGCAGCACTGCCACCATCTCCAATGACCTTCAGCTCACAATCAATGCACCCCAAATCACACTCGGCCGTTCGCCCACGACTGCAGGCGCCTCAACTGTGCCAGGCGGACGCGCTTCTCTCTGACGGCTCAGCGTGCTCCTGCGATGCCAACTGCTGGGAGTGCCAGCATGACGGGCGCCAGGCCGGCTTCTGCCAAGTCTGCAAGGTACGCATGGCATGCGCAACTCGTGCGCACACGAACAAATAAGCACACACACACACACACACACACGCACACACACACACACACAAACAGCGTTTGCATGCTGTGCATGCATGCATGCTTGTTTGTCCATGGCGTGTTATGTGTGCAATCGGTTGCTGTCAGTGTTGTTTCAATGTGTGCGATACCAACAACTGCTTGTGATGCGCCATCACAATCGCATTGTCGCTCGCTTCTCACTCACCCTTCCTCCTCCTCCTCCTCCTCCGCACACAACAGAACGGTCGCTTCCAGTACGGTGGCCAGTGCCTCGACACGTGCCCTCGCGACTACGTTGGCGTTGGCAGTGGCAACTTCTACCGCCGCTGCGTGCACCAGTCTCTCCTCGCCAACCCTGCATCTGTTGTCACGGAGCAGGTGCGCAGCGAGGACCAGACCTCCTCCGATGGCAGCGGCAACGCTGGCGGCATGTCTGGCACTGGCGTTGTCCTCGTCGTCGTTGGCTCCGTCTTCATCATCTGCGTCGCCGTCGCAGCCGTCGTCGTCATGTGAGTGCAAATGCGTGGATGCGCGTGTCTGTGTCTTGATGTGTGTGTGTGTGTCTTTATGTGTGTGAATTGATGCGTATGCGTGTTGGCGTGTGTATGATCCATTTGGTGGATGTGTTCATGCGCAAGCAAGATGTTGTTCTTGTGCATGGCACAGACTGTCCTTCTGAACGAACACACGACATCTCACCCCGACCTGTGTTTCTCCCCTCTCCCCCGTTACATTCACGCCATGATCACGACTACAGCCAACGGTCGCGCCGCCGCCAGCGTGAGGCCGAGACGGCCCTCTCGCGCGAGGCAAACATGCTGGAGTTTGATGAGAACCTCTAAACGACCCAACACGTGCACACGTGCACACTACCGTTTCCAGCTTATCAACACACCTCCATCCCCATATCAAGTATCCTTCTGAAACCGCCAATGGCTCTGCCATCCATCCATTCATCCATCCATTCCCTGATTGACTTCCAATTGCAATCGCTGGATCACCTTCTCCTTTCGCCTGCACCTGTGGCGTTGGGCCATATCTCTTGTCACCTCTTCACTGATAGTCATCGCTGCAACCTCAACTTGTAGCCGATGGTTCATTGTTATCTTCTTTTCTGGTCGGGTGTAGGCGTGCTCCTTCCACATCTTGTTCAAACCGTGCCGCTGTCACTTGTCGTTGTTGGTGTTGTTGTTGTTGTTGTTGTTGTTGTTGTTGTTGTTGTTGTTGTTGCCTTAGTTGAGCACTGACGAGAAGGACACCTGCCCCGTCCCTTACGTTTTACGTGTGGCTCTTGTGATTTTGTCTCTTGATTCATGAGCGCGTGTTGTTTGTTGCTTGGGCTGCTGTTGTGTCAGTGGCTGAGGTGGATGGGCGCGAAGACTTACCTGCATGCATCTGTGAAGGGAGTGCAGCAGCTGCTGCAACCCACGTCGCACATGTGGGTGTGGCACTGCTGTCTCGCTTTTGGTAATGGGCATTTGGTACTGTCTTTCCGCGACCACCATCATCTTCCTCTTGTGAGTGGCATGCCCCACAACAGCAATACAAAAACAGAAAACTTAACAGCAACGGAAAGAAGATATGGGAGCGCGTACTTGCGTGCGCGTGTGCGTGCGTGTGTGCGTGCGTGTGTGCATGCGAGTGTTGGTGGCAAGTTGAGTGTGAAGCAGCTGTTTATGTGCGCGCATGCAGGACAGCGGGGAAAGAAATCATGTAGCGTGAATCAAGCAAGCAAGCAGCCTATGTGATGCGGGAATATGAACAAGGAGAGGGATAGCGAGGAAAAGGCAAATGGGAAACAACAAAAGGGCAAACAATACACACACACACACACACACACACACACACACACACACGCACAAACACACACACGCACGCACAAACAACATAATATTGCATGGAGTGCGCGGAGATGAAAGATAACTGGAGCAAGCGAGAAGGTAATGGAAGCACACAAGGGACAAAGAATGGTCGTTGCAGACCAATACGGCAACACCGCCATGCCTGCAAGCATTTCCAGCAGTGTACGTGATGGCTGCGCGTGATGCGTTGGGATCATTTGGCCATTCAGGCCTTGCTGCCAAAGATGGCACCCACGCTGAAACGGGGCACGTTGTCTGTCGAGGATGGTTTGAGGTTTTGTTGTCGTCATGGTTGTTGTGGATGGAGGCAGTGAGTATGTGAGGTGCGGGAGACGAGTCACGCAGTGCACATGCATCAATTGCAGCACGTGCAAGCCCAACCAACAAGGGGCACACGAATCGCCACCACCCACAACAACCGCAACAGCAACAACCGCAACAGCACAACAAGCAGCACGGGCACTTACAGAACATGAGGCAGAGGAATGTGATGAGCCCGGAGATGAGCAGGGCCAGGAGGAAATACCACTGATGCAAAAGGAGACAAAAGCCGAATCGGAGCGGAGTGTAAAGGGGTGAGAAGCGTGAATTGGGAGAGACATGAGCGCGTGAGCGCTGTACGTGTGTTGTACGTGTGTGTTCGTCTGTGTTTGGCCCGTTTCGTAACGCAGAAAACGCGTACTCATGCAGGCCAAGGCTCGAGTCATAGCTGTCAATCACGAAATGTGCGTGCGTGTGTGTGTGTGTGTGTGCGTGTGTGCGCGCGCGTGTGTGCACCTTGTAGTTTTTCCAGATGATGTATCGGAAGGTCTTCCAGGGACTCGTGAGCCAGAAGAACGACGTGGGCGGGCGGCTGAACGGTACGCGCGTGCGTGGTCATGAGTGAGTGAGTGTGTGAGTGTGCAAGACGCAGCGCAGGCCAGCCAATGGACGATTGGAACTGTGAGCAGAATCGCAGCAGAGTGATTTAACGCTCATCTCACTTTGGCTTCTTCAGCTTTGGGAACTGGTTTGGTTCCTTCCGCCCAAATCCTGCACATAGCACATGAAGGAGAAGGAAAGCATGAGCACGTGCCGAGTACCAGCGCAGGCGTAGTTACATCACACACACACACACACACATACACACACATACACATACGCACACACACACACACACGTGTGCGCGCAACTGACCATTGTCTTTCTGTTCTGCTTCCTCGGCAGTCAGCAGTTCAATCTCCACTTCCAATTTGCCCTTGAGAGCGGACAAAGGCGCACGTGACAAGAAGGATTGGTGAGTGAGAGTATATTGTTACAATCGTCAGCGAACACACATACACACACTCACATACACACACACACGCAGACGCACACTCAGACACAAGCATATATACACACCCATACCCCCCTTCCCACACACACACACAAAAAAGGCACTGACGTACCGTGAGTTCCTCGCCCTTTTCGCCGCCGCCGCGGGTGCACGGATACACACCGGCAACGCGCTTCGCCTTGAAGAGGTTGATGCGCTCGTGCTGGTGGCCGCAGGGTGTGTGTGTACGTGTGTGTGTACGTGTGTGTGTGTGAGGGGGGGGGAAGCAATGGAGTGAGCGGAGGGATTATATGACACGCGGTGAGCTGAAGATAAAACACACACACACACACACAGACGTGTCTTCTCACCTTGTCGTGGTACTCTTGAGTGTACATCTTGCACTTCTTTGGCAGTTTGAAGGGAGCCGGCATCTCCAGCAAGTTGAGATCAATCGCCGCCAGGAAATCGTCGGCGGAGAACAAGTCGTTGTCCCACACCTGCGGCGCGCACGCACACACACACACGCACACACACACACACGCACACGCACGCATGAATGTGGATTGGTTGATTGAGTGAGTTAATCTTAGACACGCTTTGTGTGTGTGTGTGTGTGTGTGTGTGTGTGTGTGTGTGTGTGTGTGTGTGTGTGTGTGTGTGTGTGTGTGTGTGTGTGTGTGTTGTGTGCCGCAACTGGTGTACGCGCACTTTCTCGACAAAGCACTCCTCCCACTCGCAAACAAATGAATGCGTGGGTGTGTCACCTGAAGTGCGAGGATGGGCGGAACCTTGATCTCCTCCTTGTCGCGGGAGAGCAGGCTGCGCTTCTTGTGGAACTGATGATGGGGGACAAGTGAAGATGGGAAGCACACAAATGTGCATGTATGTGTGTGTGTGTGTGTGTGTGTGTGTGTGTGTGTGTGTGCGTGTGTGTGTGCGTGTGCGCGTGTGTGCGTGAGAATAAAGTGGCAGGGAAGACTGGGAACTGTGACGCACATGTACACACGCATAACCACACGAAAAAGATTGCATGTCCACGCGAGCAGGATCATGTGAGCAGCACGAGCGAACGCACCACGAGCTTCTCCTCTGCCGGGTAGTACAGGAACTTGAACTTGAGCCGCCAGTTGAAGTTGCCCTCGCCATTCAGCGACCTGGCATCAAACGGTGGGGGAATAGGGCAGTGGTGTAGGAGGGAGTGGTGGCGGTGGGGGAGGCGGAGGTGGGGATGAGGCATACGCGCTCACACATCAACAAAAGCCAGCACGATCCAAACAAGTCAATGCAGACACATACACATCACACAACATCATGATGTATCACACCACATCGTGATACAACACCCCACACCACAGAGAAAACCAGCAGCCTGACCTGTAGTGGGTGTCTGTCTTTGCCTTCTTGCTCTCCATGCCGCGGAGGAGACCGGAGACGTAAATGTCGCTCATACGTTCGCCCGTGATGCTCTTCTCATCCAAAACAACGTCGTATGTGTTGTACACAACAACGCGCAGCTCGTACTCCTTTGGCTTCCGCGGCGAAATGTCAATGGGCGGTGGGATGGGCGGGCCCTGTGGTGGTGGCGGTTGGTGGTAATCATGATTGGGGGGGGGGAAGAGCACATATGTGAGTGACGTCAATTCATTGCACAGACAACACACACACACGCGCACACACACGCATACACACACACACACACAGAGCACGTACACAACATACAAATGCGCAGTTTATTGCCTGCAGGCAACAACACGCCACTGCATGCTTACATCAAGCGGGAACATGTCGATCCACATCTTGAGCCGTCCCTGCTCAACCCCGGGCTGGCAGTCGTTGTACAGCCGCCGTGTCTCGATGTGCTCCGGCGTCTGCAGGCATGACAAGATTGGTGGAATTGGGGGTAGGGAAGGGCAGGTTAAGGGAAGTGAAGTGAGGGGTGTGAGCGTGAGGAGTGGGCATGCGCATGCATGCACGTGCTGTGGGCATATAGTACAGGCACATGTTCCTTTTGCCAATAACAACAGTCCCTACAGCACGAACACACACCCACCCGCCCACCCACATACCCACGCTCACACACCCCCCCACACACACACACACACACATACCCACCGCCCCCCCCCAACACACACCCACACAAATGCACACAGTCGCACGCACCCAGTCCATGCTGTGCAATGCGCTGAGCGCTGCGTTTTCCAGCTTAATCTCCATGTCGTTGTCTGGCTCCAGATATTGGCACGTGAACGTCTCAATGCCTCTCTCTGGCAGTGCCGTCTTCACCCAGACGTTGTTCGGGTCGTCGCTGTACAACGGTTCCGGCAGGTCGTGTTCCTCGCACAGCTCGCTCAGAATCTCCCGCGGTGTGTGCGCATCGCGCCATGCGTTGAAGCCTTTGGCAGCAACGGGCGGACGTGGACACGTGCCATTGGTTGGATCCGATGAGATGAGTGGCCGTGGTTGATTTGGTTGAGCGGTGGAGGTTGAGAGCACGTGTGAGCAGTGCATGTGTGTGTGTATGTCTGCATGCAAGCAGTGCATGTGTGCATGTGCATGTGTGCGTGCGTGCGTGCGTGTGTACATGTGTGTGCATGTGTGTGCATGTGTGTGTGTGTGTGTGCGCGTGTTACCTTCGCGCGTGTATGTTTGCGGCAGACCACATCGCGGCCGGCACTTTGAGAGCCAGCGGTCCTCGAGATCAATCGTCGTCGCACCAACGAGGTCATCCTGTTACCACGATCATGGCAATGGCGGTGGTGAAAATGGCGGTGAGAGTGTGGTGAGAAATAGACACGATAAATGTAATGCTCGCATCTATACCATCGCCCCCTCCCCCCTCTCCAGCACCTTACTGCACCACAGCACCTTGTCGAGCGTGTCCTGGTCCCAGACGGAGACACGAAGTTCCGTCTGCAGCGGAATCACCGCTTCAACCTCAAATGTCCTGTGCACACACACACGCACACACACGCACACATGCACATGGGCAGAGACAATGGTGAAAAGCATGGCGGTGTGGGCAGCAAGCACCGTGTGTGCGTGTATGTAGTGTGCAGGATGGCAGACAAAACGCAAAGCGTGACACAAAGTCGCACACACACACACACACACACACACACACACACACACACACACACACACACACACACACACACACACACACGACACACACACACACACACACACACACACACACACACACGACACGGTACGCACTTTCCAAAGACGGGGGAGAGCGCGTCTGGGATGTAGTTGCTGACGTCGTTCACCACGCGCTTGTTGCCGAGGTGGATCTGGTGTTGTACAGGAGACAAGGCGGTGTGGTGGTGTCGGAGGGGGTGGCGAGACACAGCAGAGTGCAGTGGCGGATGCAAACAATTACGCGATCAAGAACGACGTACACACACGCACGCACAAGAATGACGTACACACGCACGCACACACGCACACACGCACACACACACACGCACGCACACGCGCACGCACGCACGCACGCACGCACACCACCCAACACCACCACTACTACTACCGCCATCACGTTACCTGGATGTACGAGTCACAGCCGCCGTTGGCGTCCTGCGGTTGAAAGTCTTCGCCCCTGACGATATACACGCGCACGAGCACACGCGTCACATCCGTCTGCGCCTCGCGATCAAAGGTGCTCCCGGGCTAGCACGGTTGAGTATGTGTGTGTGTGTGTGAGAGTGTGTGAGTGTGTGAGTGTGCGAGTGTGTGAGTGTGTGAGTGAAGTGTAATCATCAGTGGAATCCATGAGTTCAAAAAACGCGCGCACACACACATACACCACCAGAACAGGTACACCACCTTCACACATACACCACCAGAACAGGTACATGTGCTCGCTTACCGGCACTTCGTCGACGTCTGTGATGACGTGGATTTTGCCCTTGAACATCCCGCTCTCCCGCTGCTGCCCAGTCTTGCCACGCACTGCACACACGTGACGGTGGTGGTGGTGGTGGTGAAAGGTGGTTTAATGATGAGTGCAGGATGCAAGGGAGCGTGTTTGCGTGTGTGAGCGAGTTGCGAGTCATACTGTTGCTGAGAGAGTGGGGCACAGGGCGCAAAACACACGAGGCATTGTCGAACGCAATGTGCTGACATGATGTGACAGTGTAATTGCTTGCAAGCAAACCAAACACGAACAAGAACACGCAAACAACATTTACCGAGAGAAAACGAAGAGACAACGTCCTCAAGATCAAAGACGCGTTCCAGCTCCCACTTGTAGATTGTGAACACGTTGCCGCGATACCCTGGAGATGAGACGGTAATGAGATGGGGGTTGGTGGGTTTGGTGAGATGGGGGTTGAAGTGGATGGTGCATGGTGGGATTGGTGAGATGGGGGTTGAAGTGGATGGTGCATGGTGGGATTGGTGAGATGGGAGTTGAAGTGGATGGTGCATGGTGGGTTTGGTGAGATGGGGGTTGAAGTGGATGGTGCATGGTGGTGGCTTCTGTCTCGCAAACCAGTGCAACTAAAGCAATCGCTGCTCTACACACGCGTGCAGAACATGCGAACACACGCAAACACATGGGAACAAACAAACAAACAAACAAACGAACAAACAAACAAACAAAGACAAACAAACAAACAAACGAACAAACAAACAAACAAACAAACGAACAAACAAACAAACAAACAAAAACGAACATACATACAAACAAACAAACAAACAAACAAACAAACAAAAACGAACATACATACAAACAAACAACGAACATACATACAAACAAACAAACAAACAAACAAACGAACGAACAAACAAACAAACAAACAAACAAACAAACAAACAAACAAACGAACAAAGCAAGGCAAACTAATACAAGCACTCACTCTTGATTGCCTCTGACTGCTGCATGGAGGCGTAGAATTTCGTCCACCAGTCGATTTCATCCTCCGTAAAGTCTGGATCCTGTTTCTTCGCCTCCTGCAGAATGCTCTTCGCATCCTCGTCCTTCTTGTTGAACACGCTTGCCCGGTCTGGTGATGGTGGTGATGGTGGTGGGTGATGGTGACGATGAGCGTTGAAACGGACGAGATAGGAGTGTGTTGTTGGTGTTCTTGAGCAACTCAAGTACACACGCACACACACACACACACACACACACACACACACACACACACACACACACACACACACACACACACACACACACACACACACACACGCCACGCTCCACCACCGCACCACACCTCCTTCGCTGATGGCAATGACGGTGTTCCTTGTGATGGCGGCGAGGGCGGGGTCCTTTGGCTCGGGAAAGTGCGCGTAGTTCATCACGTGCTGAATCTCATGCGTGCCGACCTGGCGACACAAGGTGATGGTGGGGGGATAGGTCAAGGTGGAAGTGACGCACAGGAGAACACGGGTGCCTGTGCTTGTGTATGCGTGTGTACAATCGTAAACAACAATCATCGAACACAGCAGAGGAACAGACAAAACACACAAACACATAAACAAACGTGCACGCTTACATGCACTGTGCATGTGGTCACGCCTCACACGTGTGTGTGTGCGTGTGTGTGTGTGTGCTGACCTGGTCAAAGAGCGGGCAGGTGCTCTGCTTGACGGTGGTGGAACGCGTGCTGTGGTGACCGCAGATGAGATACACATACGGATCGGAGAGGCCAGACGCGTCCTCAGCGATCAACTTGCGCGCCTGCAGTCCGTGGAGAGAGGAAATAGCATGAGGTGACGTGGGGCGGGACGGCGCTTGCAATGAGCTCATACGTTTGTGGTGCATGAACATGCACACTCACAGGCACAGACAGAGGCACAGACAGAGGCACACAAGCACACGGGCGTGTATGTGCACAAACGCAGCACCGCGTTGCGCGCACCTGGTAAATGTGTGCTCTGACTTGGTAGAGCTCAAGTTTTGGATAGCGGTAGAACAGGCCACTGTGCACATATGCATGCAATGTTGATGTTGCATGGAACAAAAAGGGGAAACATAAGTGATTCGAGAAGATGACAGCACACACACACACACGCACGCGCACACACACACACACACATGCACACACATGCACACACACACACACAGAGCCACTGTCACCCGCCATCCCTTGCTCCGTCTCTCCATCCATCCCTCCTCCCTCAATCTGGCCACTCGCTGACGTACACGCTGTATGTCTGCTCCTGCTCCTCTGGTGTGAGCGGGGCAACCTCTGCAAAGTCAAAGCCGGGGATGGGCTGGCGCTCGCGGTGGAAGCGGCGGCTGCGCACAAGATCACGACGGCGTCGCTTCTTGTGGAACTGGCTGCCAAACGAAAACGCATACAGCCACCCCTCAGGGTCGCCCTCCTGGTATTGTGCAGTAAATATATATGTGTGTGTGTGTGTGTGTGTGTGTGTGCGTGTGTGTGTGAATGAGTTGAAGGGTGAGTTGTGAGTTGTGCGAAGAACAATCCACGATACGTCAGCAGAGCGTAAACACCTTTCATCAAACCACTGCCACCACCAACAGCAGCAACAACAGCAGACCATGAGTGGGTCTGCCTCGTCCTCCTCGTCTGCATCAGCATCAGCATCGGCTTCGCCAGTGTCGCCATCTCTGTTCTGCACGCGAGCAATGCGTCGACGTGTTCGCGTCCACCGCCGCCGCCGCACGCAGTGGATCCTCTTCTTCGCGGGGAAGAACGTCTTGCTTGCAAACGACACCGCATACGCTGCCCGCCAATGGCCGCGAGGAGGGAGTGGGAGAAAGGGGGGGGGGGTTGGATTGGAGAGGGAGAGAAAGGGTTGAGATGGATGGGATAAATGATACAATGAGCTCATGGGTGTGCATGCACAGTTGGGGGGGGGGAGGGGTGTGCGCGTATGTGTGTAATGTGAATTGTGAGAATTGAGTCGTTGGCATTGGCGGTTACGAAGGTGAGCAAAGCTCAGGTGCTTTGCTGTGAACGTGCGTGCTCACCCCATCCTTCGTGGTCGCACGGCCGCGCTGTATCTACTTCCCAGTCGCCCTGAACACAAGAGCGCAACACAATGACACAACGAAGCAAAGCGATAAGCACGGGGTGAGGATTCAAGTAGATGGAAGCTTGTCATGACACAGCAGAGCACATACACACGCACACACACACACACACACACACAAACATCATCTATCCATCCACTCTTTCTTCCCTTTCCCCCTTTCCCTGTCCATCCTCCACTCTCCATGCTGTGGTGTGGTGGCGTGCACACCTCCCATGCCCAGCCCTCGTCCAGCTCCCAGCTGTCCTTGTCCGCTTTCTCCCGCGGATTCAGCGCAGAGAACGACGGGTGCGACGTCGGGTTGCGCCAGCCCTGCGCAGTGGTGATGATCGTGATGGTGTTGAGTGGTGGTGGTGATGGTGGAAGGGAGAAGGACAGACACAGACACGCATGCACGCACACACACACACACACACAACAATGTCCCCCCTCCTCTCCTTTCGAGCGCACCTTGAACGGGATGAGACGCTGGTTCTCCCAGACCTCCTCCGTGACGGCATCAACAGCCGCCTCTGGATCAAATTCAACAATTTCAGGCGCAATCTCCCACTCGCTCGTCCACTCCCAGCCCGTGGGCAGAAGCACCTGGTCCTTTGGCTGCTTCTTCTTCCGTGTCACATCCGTGTACCTGATGTCGGTGGCGTTGGTAGGAGGAGGGAGATTGAGTGAGTGAGTGAGTGCGTGTGTGTGTGTGTGTGCGTGTGCGTGTGCGTGTGTGCGTGTGTGTGTGTGTGTGTGTGTGTGTGTGTGTGTGTGCGCGCGGGCGTGTGAGTGTGTGTGTGCAGACAACTGCGTGATGGATGACAAAGACGACGCGAACATTTGACCTCCACCATCCCTTACACCATCCTCTCTACGACGACGACCACCACCACCACCATCGACCCACCTGCCGATGCCCGGGTCGGCCCACTTGGTGAGCATGTACCGCTGGTTTTCGTACACCTCAGACAGCACGGCAAGCGTCGCGGCTGAGGGGCGGGAGGAGGAGGAGGAGGAGGAGGAGGAGGAGGAGGAGGAGGAGGAGGAGGAGGAGGAGGAGGAGGAGGAGGAGGAGGAGGAGGAGGAGAAGATGACAGGAGAAAGGGGCGTGAGCTTCGAAAGCTTAGCTCAACACAAACATGCAGACTCACATGCAGACTCACACACACACACACATATTTGCACACATGCATAACACACTTACATGCACACACACCACGACCACCACCACGACCACCACCACGACCACCACCACGACCACCATCGCTGAACGCACGTGATTTTGGCCAGAGGGCGGTGTACTCCGCGTCGCCAAACCACGCGCGGAACTGAATCTGGGCAGGGATGTCGCCCGTCTGGTTCGCTTTGGAGCGATTGGCAGCCGGCAACTTCATAAACCTGCACACGCATAGCACAGTGGTGGGGATGTGATTGGGGAAGGAGAAGGCGGGTTAATTTCGTGGATGTGAAGCTCAAGCGATGGCACGCATGACACTGCCACAACACACACGCACACACACACACACATACCACAAGACACAACAACACACGCCACAAATCAATTGCATACATACGCTGTCTGGACTTGTCCAAACTGCTTTCCGCGGTGTGCCGGGTTCTCGTCAAACATGATGTCGGAGACGGGAACACGCAGGTACTGCGTGGTGTGAGGGGGCAAGAGATGGTGGTGGTGTGGGTAGCAACAAAGTGAGAAGATGCAGAACGACCCAAGTACACACACACATACACACACAGGTGTGCAAGTGCTAATACATCCACACGCACACATGCACACACGCACACACACACACACACACACAAGCAAGCCTCAACACCAACACCACCAGCAACATCAGCAGCAAAACACGAACCGCTCTGCGCTGGTCGTCTGTGAGGATCCAGAGAATGACGTCTGGGATGGAGAGTTGGGGCTCGTAGCACATGTCCATCACCTGTCCACGAAGATCAGGCACATCCTCTCCGCAGATGTCAAGAATCTTCATCGCGCCAAGCTCCTGGACATGGTTTGGAGGGAAGGGAGGAGGGAAGGGGTGAGGATGAGGTGGTGTTGGTGTTGGTGGCGTGTCACGTTGTATTGTGATGGCCGTGGTTGTTCGTAGAGGCGGAGGGTGAGTGTGTGAAGAGATGACATGATCGTGGACAAGAGAATCCGCATTGTCTCGGCCCCATGCACGCACACACGCATGCACACACGCACGCACAAATACACGCACATGCACACAATCATATGTACACACACAATCATATGCACATGAATGCACGCACACACACAGTCATATTCACCACACACACACACACATGTACACGCACACATGCATGCAAACACACGCACAAAACGCACCTTGATCTTCTTGATCATGGTGCCTGCCATGGCGTTGAAGGTGCGAATGCTCGCGTTCCTGAGGCGGAAGAGGTGGTAATCGAGGCGCGTAAACTTCCCGTCTGGCAGCGCGGGCAGCGGCTGCTGGCACAGCTGTCACGCCATTGAGGTTGGGGGGATTCAAGGTGAAGGGAGAAGGTTGGTGCAGTGAGTGAGGGTGGAGGATCTATGGACTGTGACACAGCACAACGGCAACACTGTTCACAACAACAACAACCACCCCCACCACCACCACCACCATGAGGTTCACGACCGCCAGCACCATCGTGGTTCCCGATGACGATACCTTCTGGAATGTCTCGAGGGCGAGGATGGCGTCGTCGGTGAGATCCAGCAGCGCATCTTCCTCAATGTCCCGCTGCGACTGGAACACAGCAACTGCACACGCACGCACGCACACACACACACGTACACACGGGCACATGTACGCATGGGCACATGCACATACACGCACGCACACACATATTCACACACAGATGTGATTGTAGTGGTGGTGAGCGTGTGCGAGAGTGTGCAGTGAGGGATGATGTCGAACACAAGTGAACATGTGCACGGCATGTGCAAGTGTGTGTGTGTGTCTGTGTGTGTGAGAGAGAGAGAGAGAGAGTGTGTGTGTGTGTGTGTGTGCATTTACTTTGGTGGCAGATGTCTTCGAGGGACGCTGCGAGCGTGCGCAGGAAGTTGAGCGTCTTGTACCGGTAGTCAATATCCTCCCACTAAACACACACACACATGTACGCAATAGGTGTGAGGCACAGTGAGGAAAGACGCATGAGAGCAAGAATTGTGTGCGCGCACACACACATACACACACAGACTCACACACATACACAGACACGCACATACACACGCACACGCACACATCCAGGCCACGCACGTCTGATTTGAGTTCGAGGCACGGCTTTCTGTTCTCCCAGGAGATGTAGTAGTAGCACGAGCCGTCGAATGTCGGTTTGGCCGGCGCAGTGATGCTGCCCTCCGTGTCCTGACAGTCGCCGGGTGGCGGCGGCGGTATTGTGATGATGGTGAGAAGTGAGTGGAGGTAAGCTGCAGAAGAAGCAGAGAAAGTCATGCCACACACACACACACACACACACACACACACACACACACACACACACACACACACACACACACACACACACACACACACGCATACACATGCACACACACACACACAAAGATGAAATGCAGTACTGCATGGTGCAACGGACCGGGTTTTCAAGAACGTTCCCGATGTTTCCGATGGACGCCTCGACACGGATGCGACAACGTCGCATCTGACCAGCATCGTGGTGATGGTGGTGGTGGTGGTGGTGGTGGTCATGGTGGTGGTGGTGGTGGTGATGGTGGTGGTGAGTAGTTGAGGAAACGATCATGAACAGGGGTACAAAACGGCGCATACAAAGCACACAGATCGACACATGTGCAACCATACACACACATACACACAGACACGGAAACACACACAGACACACACAGACACACACACACTCTCTCTCTCACGAAACAAGGCATGTTGCCGTACCGGCCTGCGGGGCGGCTGGAGCAGAGGAATCGACGGGGCCATCGTACTTGAGGCGGAGCTGAATGCGGCCCTCGCCTTGCTGTCATACCGTGGTGCACATGGATGGATTGGGTTGTTTGAGCGTGCGCATTGGCGAACAAGCGCATGCACGTGTTTGGGTGCACGTGCTTAAATGCACGTGCGAAAATGCACGCACATACACACACGCACACACGCACGCACGCGCGCAAACACACGCACAAGCGTACAAACACAAACACACGCGCAAACACACGTACACCACCGCCGCCACCTCATCCCCTCGTTGTTGCACTAACGCTGAGCGAGTAGAACTTGGTTTGCGTGCGATCTCCCATGAGCACGTCCAAGCGAACGGTGCATTTGCCAAGCAGCCGGTCCCGCGTCCTGAGACCACAACACGCACGCACGCACGCGCACGCACACGCACACGCACGCATACGCATGCACATGTATGTTGATCCGTCACCACGGTGAAGCACCACACGGTTTGCAAGTGGCAGCAATGAAACCACACACAAGCACACGCACACACACACACACACACACACACACACACACACACACACACACACAAAAGTGCAGATATGCGGGTTTCATGCTTCATGCACAGCTTTATTCGTACAACAGCGCCCCCCGCCTCACTCCACCCCGCATGGGATCGTACCGCTCTTTGTCCTTGACGGTGATGTTGAGGGCGGGCGAGTTGGCGGAAAGGGGCGCGGGCAGCGTGAACTTGAATGTCTCATCCCATTGTGGGTTCAAGTTGTTCTTGATGACCTTTGTCTTGAACCTGTGCAGAGCGAGGTTTGGGTGGCGGTTGTGTGTATGCGTGAGTGCCATTGCTGGTTGCAACACGCACTGAACACGAGGCCATGCACGCACGTCCGTGCACAGAGAGAGAGAGGGGGGGGAGGGAGGGAAGAGAGAGGGGGGAAAGAGAGACAGAGAGATGCAGAGACAGAGAGAAAGAGAGAAAGAGAGATGCAGAGAGAGAGAGACAGAGACAGAGAGATGCAGAGAGAGACAGACAGAAGCACACACATACACCCGTCACACACACACCCACACCCACACACACACACACACACACATACACCCGTCACACACCCACACCCGTCACACACACAGACACACACCAACACACGTACGCACACACCAACATATCCCCACAAGTACCGCAATGCATGACTCACTCAGTGCCTGCCAACTCGAGCACGGCGTATGGGTCTGATTTGCCTTTCTTCTCCACGTTCTTGAGGTCCGTGGCACGAAGCACGGTCACCTCCAACTTGGGTTCCGCCATCTTCGTGGGTTCCTTTCGCCAGCTCTGTGTGCTCCACAAGCTGTGTCAGCAACTCACACACACACACGCCTACACACAGCACAACACGTCAGTGCGCGCTGTGCCTGTGTGCTGCTGTCTGCTGTATGCTGGTTGGTCTGTGTCCGTGTGCACGATGAGCGTGCACCCACCCACTGCTTCCGAGCACAGCAAAGGCTTTTCTTCCTGCTGTTGTCGCGTCGTGCTGGGCTGGACTCCAGTCCTGAAGATTTGTGAATGTTTCACACGAATTCTCGACACTCGTCATTCGCTCCCTCGATGTTGTGTGCCTGTCCGACTGTTGTGCACACACACACACACACACACACACACACACACACACACACACAACCATCAGCCAGGCCAAGCACCAACCAGAGCTCTCACGCCACAAACAATCACATCCATTGATTGACTGGCAACAAGTCGACAGGACGCAAGCAGTCGACCCAAGCATCGCCAAGCACGGGTATGGGGTGTGCGTGCGTCGATATGCATGGTTGCGTGGCCTTTTGCCTTGACTTGATTGTCAGGTGGACGCTTTTGAGACGCGATACGGTTGTGTTTAGGGAAGAACTTTTGTTCTGTTGGCGGGTTCGTGGCGCGTTGTTGGTTGTCATCATCATCGAGCCGTGTTGTTGCTTTGCTTCGTGGCTTGTTGTTTCGTCCTGCCGCTTCCGGCAGTTTTTGCTCGTCCTCGCGTTTACTCCACACCAACAACGCAACGCTCATCCCATCCACCCACATCATCCACCCACATCTTCACGACTGCCTGAATCTCTTGCACGGTGGGTGGATGCTCTTCTCTCTTTTCCTCTTCCGTCTTCTCCTTGTTCATGTCCATTTCAATCACACCAAGTTTAGAACTCACCCCGACGCATTCGCACGCAAACATTCGACATACAACACACAATTGCACACCCACACACACACACACACACACACAACACACACACACACAATTGCACACACACACACACACACACACACACACACACACAACACACACACACACCACACACACAATTGCACAACACAACACAACACACACATGCGCCACCTTTGCTCTGCAGTTTTGTCAGGCACATACTAGCTTCATCCATCCGTCCACGGAACCGGTTCAGAGACACGAACGACCCACGTCTCACGCAGCCACAACCCCACAAGCATAATCTATCGTCCCTCATCAATCCTCGCCCATCTGCACGTCTGCACCAACGCTCACACACGACAACGACAACAACAACAACCACGGCACCGCCACCTTCTACAACGGCGAGGGCAGGTGCAGCTGCGTGCGTTCATTCCCGTGGCCGCCGGCACCAGCCATTGAGTGCCAATGGCTGTGTCCGACATTACATACATACGCACGTACCCGATGACAGCAGCGCACTCATCATGCCATCCAAGCAACGCAAACAGCGAGTGCAGCAGCAGCAACAGAACAAGCCGTGCGCTGCTTCTTGTCGCGTAAGGCGCCAACCACCATCAATACCACCACGCCAACAATCACGGAGTGGTGGTCGCATTCACATGGCTGTTGTGGCGGTGGCAGTTCTGGCGCTGTTCGCACTGCTGGCCATCACAGCAACCACAGCCGCCGCCACAACACCACCATCAACACAGGTGGGCCGCGTGCAATGGAGAGTGGTCACCCGAGCATACAACGACTCCCACTTCACCCTCGCCCTCGTTCCCAACAACATCAGCACTACCAGCAACAGCAGCAGCAGCATCAGCAACAGCAGCATCAACATCAACATAAGCAGCGTGGTGGGTGAAGATGGACCACCGCCACAGAGCCCGTTCGCCATTCTTCCCGCCATCACGGTGCTTGACTCTCCACATGTGGTTGGTATGACCGCTGGTGGTGGTGCGTCGAGCGACGATGACTATGACACCGAGGACGACGCATTCTACCCACCGGCATCGTGGGTTCTGGCCACCAACAACACCGTCGTGCTTACTCTCCGGCCCAACGTCGAAGTGAAGGCACGGAACACGGTGGCAACACCAGCATCATCGTCATCATCATCATCATCATCATCATCATCATCATCATCATCATCATCACGGCCACTGCCCATCTTCCAGTTCACATCATCGCCAGACCACGTGCAAGAGGCGCTACAGCTCTTTCGCGTGCACGTCTTCCTCTCACCAACCACAACAGTATCCACCACCAATGCAACCACCAACAACAACACCACCAATACCACCAATACCACCACCACGACTGCTGGCGTTGCTGTGCTGCTGCCGTATTGCAAGCGCGTGTATTCCCCGCGCTGCTTTGCGCCGGACCGCCCGTATGTGCTCGAGTGGGCGACGGCGTTTGGCGCCGTGCCTGCGCTCGCCCCCGATGCGGCTGCAGCAACTCCAACACCTGCTGCCAACAGTAACAACAGTAACAACAACAGCAGCAGCAGCAGTGCATTTGATGCTGACGTTGGCGGTTACATGGCCACCCCGCTTGTCCTTGTCGACAGCAGCAGCAGTGCAATGGACATTGACACACCGCCAGGCGAAGACATCAACAATACCAACAACACTACTACCACCAGCAATGCCACCACCAACAACACTACTACCACCAGCAACACCACCAGCACCAGCGCAGCGGATGCGTTGTTTGCGAGTGCAGAGGTGGTGCTCACGACACCGTCCCCGCGTGTCCCCGTCGTGTCGTTTGAGACGATGGCTGTCGGGAGCACGTGGGCGGCGTGTCGCATCGTCCTCAATCGCTCCGACATCACCGTTGTTGCTGCGCTGTACATCGACCGTTTGGGCAACGCCGAGTTTGACTTTGACCCCAACAACCTCGACACGCCCATTCTGGACGCAGGTGTCATTGACGTTGTCATGGACGGGCTAAACGCGTTTACCGTCGCCCTGTACAACCTGCATCCGTTTACCCACTACCGCCTCGCCCTCTCGCTGCACACGCCCACGGGCGCCTATGCCCGCGAGCAACTGACGTTCACGACGCTTGTGGACAGTCCAACCACGCCCCTTGTTGACATGCGCGTGCAGACGTGGTCTGTGTTTGAGACGTCGTTCCTGGCGCGTGCAGACCCGATACAGCCTGCCACGGGCATTGTGCATCTGATCGAGACGGAGATTCGCGACACGCTCACCAACGAGGTGAGCACGTACGAGCACAGCTGGGGCATCAACGCAGGCTACTGCGCCAACCCCTCGGAGAGCAAACCCTCGTTCAGTTGGTTTGTTGGCGGCGTGCTGCCCAACACGCGCTATGAGCTGCGGTCACGCGCAATCCTCTATCCGCAGCACACCTCTGACCTGATTCGCACGTTTGGGTCCGTTGTTGTGCTCGATCCAACCTTCCAAGCAGCACCAGCACCGGAGACCCTGCACCAAGCTCGCGCTGGTGCTGATGCTGTTGTGAACGGTGACACGGTTGATGCTGTTGTGAATGGTGATGGTGGTGATGATGCTGTTGTGAATGGTGATGGTGCTGGTGCTGGTCGTCGTCGCCGCTATGCTGCCACGGATGGCATTGATGCCGTAGAGGCGATGGATGATGCTGCTGTTGGTGGTGATGGCAGCATGCACGCTGCCCTGCTCGACGACAGCGCTGCCACCGCTGCTGGTGGGACTGTGATTGGACGGCGGGTGAGGCGCGTCACACCACCACCACCAGCAGCAGCAGCAGCAGCAGCCGCCGCTGACGACAGCGATGAAGGTGGACGGAACGTGGACGGGACAGCGGCGCCACCCTCAGATGTTCAGCTCGAGTCGCCGTGGACGGAGTGGGTCACGGTGACCACCAAGCAGGCAACGCAGCCAGCGCTGATACTGGAGGTGCAGTCGCTCAACGCCACGCACTTTGTGGTGATGTGGCAGGACCAGCGGCCCTTTGCGCCGCTTGTTCGCGTCGACTACTTTGTGTATGATGCAAGCAACGACACCGTCCTGAACGGAACGCAACCGGACACAACCGCCACCAGCATCATCCTCAGCCACGCCCACCTGTACCCGATGGGCGCCCGTGCCGTGACTGCTGTTGTTGTGAATGCCATTGGGGCAAGCCCACGCAGCAACAGGGTGCAGGTGCCCGCGTACACGCCACCACCACCACCATCTGACAACAGCGGCAGCACGGGCGGTGTTGCGCTGCCTGGGTATGCACTGGGCATCATCATTGCCGTCGTCGTCATCGTTCCACTTGTCGCGTGCTACGGTGCGGCGCTTGGAGAACAGGGGTGGCGGGTGGGGGACGTGTTGGGACTCGGGGTGGTGATTGGTGTTGCTGTGGATGTGTGTGTGTGTGTGTGATGGGGGGATTGGCTTGACAGCTTTCACGATGACATCTTCCTGCTTGTATTATTGTGAATGCCCGTCTTGCTCACACCTTAACGCCTGCTCTGATGTTCATCACACACGCACACGCACACGCACACGCACGCGCGCGCACACACACATGTTCACGACTGCAGTGATTTGGCGGTACCGGGTGAATGTTCTGTTCCAGTTCCCCGAGGAGGACGAGTGGGAGCTGAAGCGCTCTGCTGTGACGCTCGGTCGCGAGATTGGGCGCGGCGAGTTTGGTGTCGTCAGGAAGGGCGTCTTCAACGACCAGGTGCACACACACACACACATGTATACACACGCACACACACACACACATGCACACACAAAAACACACACACGCATGCACACACAAACACACACACACCCACGCACGCACGCACGCACGCACGCACATCCATGTATGTGGTGTTTCTTGTATGCATACTGCCTGGTTGATAATGTATGAATGTGCTTGTGATGCGATAGTCAATTATCTCACTCTGTTTGACTCTTTTCCGTCTCATGCATCACATTCATCCCACTCATCACTGCCCGTGTCCCTCCAATCCATTATTGCTGCGGTCAGGTTGTTGCTGTGAAGATGTTGCGTGCAGGCACGGGCCTCGAGCAAGCGCGCGCATTCATTGACGAAGCGAACGTCATGAAACAACTTTGCCAAGCAGGTACATATCCTGTGTGTATGTGTGTATGTGTTTGGCTCAGTTGCACTCCTTTCAGTTCGATCTCCACCCCTGGTTGCCTTTGAGTGTGTGACTTGCTTTGTGAAGGACATCTCACCCACTCCACTCCACGCATCACACGTGCTCCTTCCTTCCTTCCTTCCTTCCTTCCTTCCTTTCTTCGTTTTGCGGTTGCTTGTGCCAGAAAACCACCCCAACATTGTGCAACTGCAGGGCGTCATGATGCAAGCGCATCCGCTTGCTGTTGTCATTGAATTCCTCAGCAACGGCTCCCTTCGCTCCCTTCTTCTCGACACACGCGCGAGGCACCCGTAAGTTGCGGCACTCGGTGCTTGCTTGCGTGCTTGTTTGTGTGTATACGTGTGTGTGTGTGTGTGCGGTGTGCGTGTGTTGGACATGTGATCCTTGTGTGACACGTATGTGTGTGTGTGTGTGTTTGAAATGACTTCATGTACACTCATTAGTTGCTCGCCCCACCCCACCCCCTCCTCTCCCCATTCCCAGCGTGTTTCTTGATCTGCACCAGCTGCTGCTGTTTACACTGGACATTGTTGAGGGCATGTGCTTCGTCACCAGCAAAGGCGTCATCCACCGTGACCTCGCAGGTGTGTGATATCTGTGAGTGTGTGTGAGTGTGTGTGTGCGAGAGAGAGAGTGTGTGTGTGTGTGTGTGCGTGTGTGTGCGCGTGTGTGTGCGCGTGTGTGTGCGCGAGAGAGAGAGAGTGTGTGTGTGTGTGTGTGTGTGTGTCTGTGTGTGTGTGTGAGTGTGTGTGAGTGTGTGCAATGGGCGGGGGCGTTGGTTGTTCGCTGTTTTTTATTTGTAGGATGGCACTGTGGTCACTGAATGGTTGATACCAGCCATCACTTCTTCCGCATCGCGTGTGATTCTCTCCACAACTCAACATCCGCTCACACACACGCACAACGCACACAACACATATACACCCCCCTCCCAAACACCGTGCAGCGCGCAACTGTCTGGTGACCACGGACTGGACGGTGAAGATTGCAGACTTTGGGTTTGCGCGTGCGCCCTTGCTCGAACGCAACTACCAGGCCATGTACACGAAGCGCGGTGATGTTGTGCTGCCGCTGCGATGGGTTGCGCCGGAGGTGTTCACGGACGGCCGATTCTGCGAACTGTCAGACGTGTGGTCGTTTGGCGTCACCATGTGGGAAATCTTCGCAAAGGGAGAGGTGAGCAGCTGTCGGGTTAGAGAGAGAGAGAGAGAGCGTGTGTGTGTGTGTGTGCGTGTGTGTGTGTACATGTGTGTGAATATGCGAGTGTGTGTGTGTGTGTTTGTATTTTGTGTGTGTTAGTGTGTTAGTGTGTTTGTATTTTGTGTGTGTTAGTGTGTTAGTGTGTTTGTGTTTTGTGTGTGTGTGTGTGAGCGTGTTTGTGTTTTGTGTGTGTGTGTGTGTGTGCTCGCGTCTGTCTTCACTTGTTTTGCAAGCACTTGACTTCCGCTGCTCACCTCGCCATTTACATTCACGAACAACAACAACCCCCCCTGTCACCTACGACACCTCTCCCCCTCTTCCCTTTCTTCCCCCACATCAGCTGCCGTATGCAGACATTCCTCAGGAGAAGCTCGTCTCGCAGATATTGTCTGGTCGCCGCCTGCACCAGCCCGACGACTGCCCGCGCCTCCTCTACATGCTCATGCAGCGCTGCTGGGAACGGTAAGCACGCCACGGTGCTGTGGTGTGGTGTGGTTGTGTTGCATTGTTGTTGCTGTTGTGTTGCATTGTAATCGTGTTGCTTCTTGGTTTCTTGGTGTAAGCCATGATGCGCGTCGCTTCTTGGTTTCTTGCGTCCCACATCCTCTGCTGTTCATCTCTCTTGCTCTCCCGTCCCTTTCACCCACCGCCCAACGGTTTCTCATCACCCACGCTCTTGCTGTCGCCCACTCACCATGCCCCGCCCACAACAACAACAACAACAACAACAACAACAACAACAACAACAACAACAACAACAACAACAACAACAACAACAACAACAACAACAACAACAACAATAACAACAACAAAAACAACAATAACAACAAAAACAACAACGACGACGACGACGACGACGACCACCACCACCACCACCACAGGGACCGCCCAAGCTTCAGCGCCATCAGAACGTTTATCCTGAAGGCGATTGCCAAGTTTGGCCTGTCGACGATGGAAGGGGAACGAACACACCCTGAATCGCGCATGGGTATTGCCCGCACGCCCCACGGCAGCCACGCCCACACGAGTGGCGGCAGCACCGACAGCGGCACGACGGCCGGTGGCGTCATTACAACACGCCATCGCGGCAGTGCCAAGGAGGATGGATGTGGTGGTGGCGGTTATGACGATGCTGTGACGAGCACCACCGCTCTCACGCTGGCGTCGCTGCTGCCAGCCACCACCACAACGACAACAACAGCACCAGAAGCACCACTGTCGATGACAAGGATTGGCAGGTGTGGCGATGGGGCTCGGGACAAGGGCATGTCGGTTGGAAGCATCACCCCTGGCAGCGACACCGCACTTGGGTCGAGTCTCGATGCAGAATTGGCCGAGTGGACAGATATGCTGCTGGACAACGGCATTGATGGCACCTGCCGCACAAGCAGCGACCAACAACAACAACAACAACAACAACAACAACAACAACAACAACAACAACAACAACAACAACAACAACAACAACAACAACAACAACAACAACGCGGGGAGGTGCTTGTGCTGTTTAATGAACGCACCGGACAGCAACCCCAACACAAGTCCAACGTCATTGGCAGTAGTGTGGTGTAGCATCGCGCTTGTGTGTATGTGTGCTTGTGGTTTCCGACTGAATCCCTTTGTGGAATGGCGTGGTTCCAGTGCAACGTGGTGTTTTTCGTGTGCGTGTGTAGCGTGTTGCCATGATTATCACTATCATAATTAGCGGTTTCTGGTCTGTCTGCAAGCACCCTTGCTTGCGTCAACACTTGCCATTGCTTGTGTTATTTACGTTACATTGTGGTTTTAGTGACACCGTGCCCCTGCGCGTGCATTGACGCGTGTTGTGCACTGTAGAGTTACAGCTTATTCTCTTTCTAGTCATTGCTGTTCACGTCCCTGCTTGCGTTTGTGTTTTGATTTCACTCACAGTCAAACCCATCACGAGCACAAAAGCAAATGCAACACCAGAAGAAAGCGAAGACAAAGAGAGGGAAACTTTGAAGAGACACACAGCCACACTCCCACCCACACACCCACACCCACCCACACGCGCGCGCGCACACACCCACACCCACCCACACGCGCGCGCGCGCACACACACACACACACACACGCACGCACACCCACACGCACACACACACACACACACCTCAGCAAGCGTCTGGGCAGTTCTTTGTGGTGACACCAGAACCAACAGCTACGCATGAGCCAAGACCTTTGCAGTTAAGACGAGTGATGGCAGTGCCAGTTGCGTAAATCTTCTCCTCAATCGACGTGATGGATGCAAAGTCAATGTTACTCAGCGATGTGCACGACTGCAGAAGGAGAGAGCCTTTGATCTCCGTGAGGTCACCAAAGTCAAGGTTGGTGAGAGATGGGTTGTTACTCAGGGCAACAAAGCCGCCAACACTTGTGATGCTTCCGAAGTCAATGCTGGTGAGTTGCTCGTTTTCCTGAAAGTACATGCCGCCACCCACTTGCGTCATGTTCGGGAAGCTCAGGCTGGTGATGTGGTCGTTGTGCTGGAGGAAAATGTAATCGCCCACGCTGCTGATCATGCTAAAGTCAACCTGGGTCAGCGTTGGAATAGTGAGATCGAGCTTGCCGCCGACGCTGCGAAGACGAGCAAACGTGACACTCTGCAGGTTGTTGTCGCTCAGGTCCAGGTCACCACGCACATGCTCGATGAGACCCAAGTCGAGCGTGGTGATGCCGACGTTGGCGTGGACACGAAGATCGCCACCCACATGCGTTATCAGGCCAAAGTCAATACTGGTCAGGACGTTGTCGCTGACATCGAGGAAGCCACCGATGTAGGTGAGTTTGCTGCCAAACAGGATGGAGGAGAGTTGGTTGACGCTCAAGTCAAGGTCACCGCCAATCAGGGTCAGGTCACGGAAGTTGATGGTGTGAAGATCAAAGTTGTTTCCAAGATCGAGGCGGCCACCAACATGTGTCACATTGGCGAGGTCGAAGCTGGTGATGCTGTTGTCGTTCAGGACCAGGTCACCCGTGACAACCGATAGCGCGCCAAGGTCGATGGAGGTATAGCTATTGCCTGCAAGCAGCAGGCTGCCGTTGACATGTGTGAGACGGCCGAAGGAAATGTGCTCTTGGTTGTTGTCGGGGATGATGCGCAGCGTTGCCCGTGAAGTCACTGGCTGGATATTCTCAAACACAGTCTGGGCAATCGTCAGCACACCAGCAACAGTGGGCATGCTTGCAAAGTCAACGCTGACCAGCGCTGGGTTGTTGCTGAGGTCAAGGTCGCCAGCCACGAAGGACAGCTTGCCAAAGCGGATGCTGGTGAGGGCGGGGTTATTGCTGAGGTCAACGCTGCCACCAATGTCAACCACGTTGGCAAAGTCGATGCTGGTCAGGCCGGGGTTGCTGCTGACGTCAACGTTCCGGCCAATTGAGGTAATGTTACCACAGTGGAGGCTGGTCAGGGCGTTGCTGTTGAGATCGAGGTGGTCTGTCACGGCTGTAAGGCTGCCAAAGTCCACACGCGTGAGCGCGTTCTGCTGCAGATAGAGGGAAGACACGCTCGTGAGAGCACCCAAGGACAAATTAGTGACGGCGTTGTTGTTCAGGCGAAGATAACCCAAAACGCTTGTCAGGGCGGGTATCAGCACGCTTGTGAGCATCGGGTTGTTCTGGAACAGAAAGCTGCCGGTGCGGGTGAGGGAGCGGAGGTCAATGCTCGTGACCCTGGGATTGTTCCGCAGGAAGATGGTACTGCATGTGCCGAGTGAAGGGAAGCTGACGATGGTAAGCCCAGAGTTGTTGTCAAACTGCAGCTGAGCGGCGCTGGTGACGTTGCCAAAGCGGATGAACCTGACGCCACTGTAGGCAATCTGCAAATTATCAAGGAGCGCACCGTCCTTGAGGGAGACGCGGTTGGTCCCGAGTGACAGCCGACCTTGCACGTGTGAGAGCGCTCCAAAGTCAAGCCACTGCATGTTGCCGATGCCCACGTCCCCGCCAACAGTGGCCAGCGCACCAAACCGGATGTGGTTGATGGGGTTTCCAGAGAAGTACATGCGGCCCCCCAGGCTTGTGATGGACCCAAAGTCGATGCTAGTGAGCGCTGTGTTGAATTCAAAGTACGCAATCCCGTCCACACGGGTGAGGTTGCTGCCGGAGAAGTCAAGGCTGGTGAGGGCTCTGTTTGAGACAAAGTACAGCATCCCGCCAACAGTTGACAGGCGGCTGAAGTTGATGCTTGTCAGGCCCGGGTTGGAATGGATGAGCAGGTCACTCCCAATAGTCTGGATGTTACCAAGGGTGAGCGTGTTGAGGCTGTTCACTGCGTTGATGCTCACCACCCCGCCCACCGTCGTGAGGAGGCCAAAGTCGATGCTGGTGAGGGAGGGGTTGGACCCAACATTCAGGTCAGCGCCAACACTGCGCACGGAGGAAAGGTCGAGGACACGCAGGTCGTTGCCGTTCAAGTTGACACCCAGACCCACGTGCGTCAGCGCGCCAAAGTCAATCTCGGTGATGACGTTGTTGGAGAGGTCGATGCTGGAGGAGACGCTGCGAACACGCTCAAACTGCACAGAGGCCAGCTGGCCGCCCTGTGCCGTGCCGCCCTGCGCCGCGACTGACCCGACGGTGGTCACATTTCCAAATGAAAGCGCCTCTGTGGCAGGCGAGACATCCACGACGCCAATGTGCTGCAGACGGGCTGCCTCATCGCAGCAGCAGTTGTGCACTGTCGTCGCTTCACAGTAGTTGGCGCCGGAGAACCAGCCAACGACGGTGGCGTTGCTACAGTCAAGTGCAAACGGCGCAACGCACGTGGTGGTGGTGGTCGTTGTGGTGATGGTCGTGCTGGTGGTTGTCGTCGTTGTCTTCGTTGTTGCTGTGGGAGTCGTTATGGTGGTGGTCGTGGTGGTGGCAGTCTTCGTTGTTGCTGTGGGAGTCGTCGTGGCGCCACCACCGGTACTGCTGCTTGCGCTGATTGCGGGAACAGCAACAAGGGCGACAGGGACGGCGACAGCCGCGGCCACGAGAGCCGCAACCGCCACGAGCAGCAGCAGTCGGCTGCACGGCCAGCAGCGGCTGCGCTTGACAGCCACATCACTGTCCGCAACTTCAGAGTCGAGCAAGCGAAGGTCCTGCAGCATCGGGTTCATGACAAACGACGGCAGACCCTTTGACACGCGGTCGTTGTCCTTGGACGCGTTGCGCTTGGGTGGGGCCGGGGGTAGGGGCAGGTGTGGGTGGTTCCGGCTGCGTTCGTGCAAGAAGAGGAGACCGGCGTCTGGATCCGAGTACAGAGCCTCTTCTTCTTCCTCTTCCCCATCGCTCTGGTGGCTGTTTTCGACGTTGTCGTACAGGGTGGTCTGTGCAAGCGGCACCGCGGGCTGCATATACCCCTCTTCGTGCTGCTGATGCTGCTGCTGTGGCATGTCGGTGAAGACATTTGCGCTGTTGCCTTCGACGTTGTCGTACAGGGCATTCTGTGCAAGCGGCATCGCGGGCTGCATGTGCTGCTCCTCGTGCTGCTGCTGATGCTGCTGTGGCATGTCGGTGATGGCGCTTGCCCTGCTGTTGTTGCCGATGTTGTCGCCATCAACGCATGTTTCAGCAACACTTCCGCCTGTGTCCTTCACCAGCAGAAAGGGCTTTGGCTGCTCGTACACGCGAAATGTGTCGTCGTCACTCTCATCCGCACGCCCAAGATCATACACGTCGTTGCCTTCCATGTCGACGGTTTCCATCTGCACGGGGCTCTCTCGAATGGCCTACACATGTGTTGTGTTGTGCATGTGATCATGTGTGTATGTGTGGGTGCATGGGTGCGTGTGCATTAGTATGCGTGTGCATGTGTGCGTGTGTGTGCGTGTGTGTGCATGGGTGCTTGCAGGTGTGCATGGGTACATGGGTGTGTGTGTGCACACACTGCATACAATTGATTGGGTGTGCGAGCTTTTGCATGTGTGGATGCGTGGCGGTGTTGTTGAGCAGGGAGAAGCAGACGAAGGACAGATGAGCAGAAAGAACAAGCATGCTTGGATTCAAGAATGAACCAGACAATCCACGGTGGCCTCTCTCCTCGCGTTGTCCCTGCCCTCTCGCACTGCTGTGCTCTCACCTCAAGCGCATCGGCAATCTGCTGCAGGAGCGTGTTCGGGACGCGGATGTCCCTGCCGTCGTCCTCGTCTGGGAACCAGCGGCAGTGGACAGTGTCCTTGGTGAAGTGGGCCTTTGCACTCGGCACAAGGAGCTTCGTGCACATCTTGATGAGGAAGAACGGCTTGCTTTGCTGGACCATCTGAGACAGTTCGACGCTGGTGTTCCAGGTACTGGCCGGGTCATCTTGGCCATACATGCTCGTGCCCATGGCGACAACCAAACAGCACTCGCTGAGCGCGGTCTTTGCACTCTCCTTCAGGGCGCCCACCGCTCCGCTGGGCCCAAGGAACACGCTCAGGGCACGTCGCTCGAGAGCTGCCTTCAAAGCATGCGCAGCATTGTTGGCCTCGTCCCCTCGGAACGACACGTACACATCGAACATGGCAGTCACGCCGATGCTGGATTCGAGGGCCGTCAATGACAGGCCAACAAGCGCGTGCCGAGGCAACAATGGAAGTGTGGATGAAGGATGGACAGCAGGCGCCGTGTCGTCGAGTCTGTCACGCGCAACTGTCCAACTGTCGCTTGTTGTTTGTTGGGTGGGCGTGGCTGATTTTGATTTGAGCAAAATCCGGAAAATACATGCATATCGTCACGAATCGTCGTACGATCAAGTGTGTGTTGTGCATGGTGTGTGCATGGTGTGTGTGTGTGTGTGTGTGTGTGTGTGTGTGTGTGTGTGTGTGTGTGTGTGTGTGTGTGTGTGTGTGTGTGTGTGTGTCCAGACTCACGGCGTTTGGGTTGAAAAAGTTATCAAATACCGCATGCATGCATGCATGCCACTTTTTCATTTATGGCATGTCGCCAGCACGGCTGGCAGAGTTTTGACATGCGTGTTGTGTTGTGTTGTGTTGTGTTGTGTTGTGTTGTGTTGTGTTGTGTTGTGTTGTGTTGTGTTGTGTTGTGTTGTGTTGTGTTGTGTTGTGTTGTGTTGTGTTGTGTT